GAAAAAATAGTTTAAGAATAATAGTTAAGAGAATTGAGTTTTCTTATCGGAGAAGCAAATATCAAAAACTTCTAAAAAATGTAGAAAAATGAAGTTCTCTAAAAAGCATTTCTATAAAAGCGTCTCATCTAAACGAACTTTTATTTGGTCCGGTGAACGTACGCAACTCTACGTTCGGCCGCCAGTTAGATCGCGCCACAGCGTTTTCATTATTTACCGCGCGACCGCAACCTGACCCGGAACGGACCCAAGATTGCTCGTATTGCTAGGTATTGGTCGATTTGCTCGGCAATAACCAAATCCGACAATACCGAGCATTATACCTAGCAATACCGAGCAATACCGAGTCTGTAACGAGTTTTCTAGCTAATACCGAGCAAATTATACCGAGCAATTACCGAGCAAATGCCCTAGCAAGGACGGAGCAAACCGGAGCAAAGACTGAGGGGACGGACACGACAGGAAAACAGGGAAACCGGCAGGGGTGGGCCGGCGCGGGGAGGGCAAAGGAACCGGCGGGGTGGTACAGGACCGGCGGGCGAACGGCGGGAGGAACGCCGGTAAAAAACGCGGAGGAAACAAAGGCCGACGGCGTGGGACCGGCGGGGTAGGGTGCGGCGGGGGCGGCGGCACAGACGCCGGGGACCACCGGAAGGTCAACCGGCGGCGGGCGGCGGGGGGGCCGACCGGGAAGTGGAACCGCCGGAATAACCGCCGGGCACCCCCCCCCCCCCCCCCCCCCCCCCCCCCCCCCCCCCCCCCCCCCCCCCCCCCCCCCCCCCCTGCCCCCCCCCCCCCCCCCCCCCCCCCGGAGACCGGCGGGATAAAACCGGGCGGCGGGCAGGGGCAGTAGACCGCCGGACGGCGCCGGGAGACCGCGGACGGCGCCGGAGACCCCGGGAGGACGGCGGGGGGACGGCGGGTAGAACCGGCCGGTGACCGACGGGGGAAACCGGCGGGCGGCCCCAGCGGAGAACCGCGGGTGACCGTCGGGAAGCCGCCGGGAGGACCGCGGGGAAGAAGAACACCGGTGGCTGAGCGGGTCCGGCCGGGATTCGGAGGGTCCGGCGGCTAAACCGCCGGGGGAGCCGCCGGAAACCTGGTGAGCACCGGAAAAAAAAAGGGACAGCATTCCCCGGAGGGGAGGAGGGGCACCCGAAAGGCGAAAACCGGCAGAAAAACAGTAGTAGGAGGGGGCAACACGCCGCGAGGGCAGCACAACAGAAATACAAAAAGGCAGCAAACAGGACAAGCACAATGCACAAGATTGGGCCAGGAGAAGGCACAAGCCCAGGGCAGAAGGGAACAAGGGGGAATAAGACAGGCAGCAAACAGAAGAAACAGCTAAGCAGCACGGGCGCCGCACGCGGCGGCAGAGGGGCGGCGCAGGGGGGGCCGGTCCGTGGGGGCCAGCGCGGAGGAGGGCAACGCGGCTAGCAGTGCAGGCGGAGCCGGCCGCAGGGCGGCAGCGCGCGACGGGAACCCGGGGCAGCGCGGCAGCGCGCGAGGAAGGCCGGCACCCGCGCACGGGACAGAGGCGGCAGCGCCACGGGGAGCAGGGAAGGCAAGGTGGAGGAACGGCCGCGGCAAGAGCCAAAAGCGGGGGAACCCAGGCAGAGACCGCCCCGCGGGCGCCACCAACAAACGGGCGGACAGGGGTTGAGACGCAGAAGGAGGGGCCGAGCCAGAGATTAGCCGCGCCCAGGGGACGGCCGACGGCGCGAAGCGGAAGAAAGCATTCGACAAAGTGTTTATACAAAGAGGTGGAGGAAATAAATGGGGAGGGCGAAAAAGCCAAAAGGTGACGCACAGGAGCCGGCGGAGAGGGCGCAGCAACCAGGCGGGGCAGCGGGAGGGAGGAGAGGTCGGGGAGGCAGCGCCAGGGGGGGGCCCGACCCCAGGGGCGCGGGCGGAAAGGGAGGCGGAGGGAGACGAACAGAAGAGAGGGAAGAAACAATGCAAAACACGGACAGGCACCGCCGAGGGGCGGGAGGAGGGACAGAGGCCACAGAGGAAGAGAGCGGCCGAAACCGCCGCAGGCAGAGGCGGGGCGGGGGATGGCGGCGCGCGCAGGGGAGAAACGCCGGGAGCCAAGCACGACGCAAATGCGTGCCAAAACGCCCGCGCCAAGCCAAGGAGGCCGCGGCCCGGACGGGCGAAGGGCCGGAACAGGGCGCGGAGACGGAGGCGCGCCGCGCCGGCGAGCTCAACCCCACCCAGCACAAGTGGACGCGGAGCCGCGGTGCTGGACGGTCAGGAATTATTTTTAAATATTAATTATTATTTTTAAAATTATTTAAAAATCCTTTTTTTAAATACTTTAAACTTCAAAATTTCATATATAATTCATTTTAAATCTTATTTTTGTATGTAATACCTTTAAATTTTTAGAAAATTATGAATTTCAATTTAAAATTATATTCAGAAACCAAATTTGTTTTTTTGGCTTATTTCTATATTACTTAATTATTTGGGATATTTAAATAATATTTGAATAATTAATATCTTGATTGTTTTTAAATTACCAAATTATTTTGAAACCCTTTTTTTCATCTTGCTTGGGTGACAAATGGATTTCTCATATAGTTAGGTGTCCCTATTAATTGAAATATATTTAATTATATTATTTTCAAAAAAAGTTATATTTATAGATATTTTAAATATTTTAAAATTACCTATATTATTAAATCCCTAATTTTGAGAGATCCACTCCTAAAATTTTAAACTTATGTCATGCTTATAAATAGAATTCATGGGGGAGAAGATTAATGGATGATTGAGTTTCAATCATTCACTAATTATATTGTTATGTGCACTTAGTTTTTATTTCTACTATCTTTTGCATGAGTAGTACGCACGAGCACCGAGATTAGGCCCTCCTAGATCTAAGGACATGGCATATTTACTATTTTTTATGCATTTCCTTTCATGTTATCTAAGGGTTAGTCTAAAACTTGCTTTAAACTCATTCAATAGCGATACTCTAAGGACAATAATTAATGACTCGTCTAACGAACTTAAAAAAAAAATTAGGAGCTAGGATAGATCCCTGAATGACTTGAGACTTCAAACACTTAAACTTAGTGATATCCTAAACTTTCTAGAATTTTCTAGGAATTTGTAGGATCCCTTGAATCCCTTAATTAACAAACCCTAATTTACCCGATAATTAGGGCCCCGATAGCTTTACAAAATTTTAATAAATCTATTTCAACTCAAAAAATTACTCATAGGACCTTGAACTCTTCAAATTTTCACCCTTAACCTTATATAATTAGGGACACTTAATTATACTTCAATATGAACCCTAATTTAATTGTAACTAAAAATCAACATTTTACCTTAATTAAATTATTAAAAATTATAAAAAATTATAAATTTTTCTCAAACACTTGGAAACACCTCTTTAGGTTATTTCTGACCTTTGGGGGTGATTCCAAGCAATTTCAATCTGATTTGGATCATAACTCCTAAATTACTCCTAATTAAATAATTTTCGATAATTCAATAATTGCCTGAAACTTCTAAAATTTATAACTCGGCCTAGAGAACTCTAAATCCAACAAAGTTAAAGTTTAAGTACTTCTCTTAAGACTTAATATTTAACTAAAATATTAGAACCCCCAAACATAGTCTATTTTACATAGTGACCTTTTGGGCTCCTTTAACCTAGCGTATGAGAGGACCCTAGACTTTGAAAAATTCTATAATGTAACTTAAACTTTAATTATTATTATCATAAGCATTAAAACTAATTCAATAAACTAAATTGACTAAAATAGATCTCAATTCACTAATATTTAAATTTTAGTTAAAATTTTCTTTTCAAAAATAAGTTTAATGACTTAAGAAAAAAAGGACCTGACAAGTTATTTGTACTTTGATATTTATTTATATAAAAATAACTAAATTTCATAGTTAAAAAAATAATAATGAATCATATTCCCTTATCCTTCTAAAAAAGTTATTAAGATGATCGAGTGTAGATATAGGTAAATAAACCGTATTATATATATAAAATTAAAAATATGTTTTTATAGGAAATTTTTTTGTAAGAGTCTTTTGACTTCATTTTTTATTTGAATAGATTTTTAAATTATTGGATTTGTTTTAAGAAGAGTGTAATATAAATTATTTATTATTATAATCATCTCAAAATAATAAAAAAATTATAAAAATAAACTTGACCTCACAAATTATTTTTATTCTCATTTATTTATATAAAAAATAAATAAGTGTTATTTTGAAATTAAAAAAATCATATAGATAGTCTAAAACATTTTAAATCTATTTTAAGATAAACGTAATATCAATTATTTAGATTCCAAATTTATTTTTAAATAAATTCAAAGATTAGGAAAAATATTACAACCAAAACTTTGCTAAGATTACTTTAACTCATTTTATTTTTCGTAAGTCTCCGTCAAGTTAGGAAGCGGCCATAATTTTTTAACCAGTACTCTACATAAGAGTTCACGTTCCGGGTCGGAAAAATCCTGGCCGGTTAGCAAACGGGTCGGATTCGAGTTCAAATTTTTGACCGGTTTGCAAAAATGTGTCGGGTTCGGGTTGACCTGGCCGAAATCAACCCGAATTTGACCCGGGTCCATTAACCCAACAATCTGGGCTCCCGCTTCCATGATCTGGGCTCAGCCACTCTGCTTCCGCTATTCCGCAATCCAGGCTTAGCCGTTCGGTTCAGTGCTGCAATCCGGGCCCGCTAGGCTCAGTAGCCGCTCCGCTTCGTCCGTTTGGCGCTTCCCGCTTCCGCACGTGTGACGAGACTGCCTTCAGGCCCACAAGGACCACAGCCACGCGATCTGGCCTCCTGGCTCCCGCTTCCGCATTTTCAATTTCCGGGTCGGGTCGTGTTAACACGGCAACGCAGTGGGTCGGGTCCGGATTGCATTTTCTGACCCGTTTGTAAAAACGGGTCGGGTTCGGATCGTGTCAAATAACATTGGGTCAATTCCGAGTTCGACCCGAACCCGACCCGTTGACCCAATTGACACCCCTACCAACAAGCTTTGGCTCATTGAATTTTTTTTCTTTGAACAAGTTATATCTCTCGTTCCTATTTGCATGCAGATAGTTTCATTCAAATTCGTTACTCAACCCAATAATTTAACCATAAAAAAGCTCGTGAAATATAGAAGTTAGATAACCAACTATTTATTTGATAAATTCATATTGCAACGACACACAATCACTGGAAAATTAACTTGTTGGCAATAGCATCGCAGGAGCCAATGCCTTTTTATTCAAAATATATACTAATAATTCTTCTTTCATCGTCTCTGTATTAATGTTATTCTTCAAGGATGCAGCTCCTTCATCTTGTTCTGCGCCGCGCCGGACGCCGCCGCCGTGCCGTTGCTATGCGGGATGATGACAACAGCAGCATTGCCAACGTTGGTTCCAGTCGCCCAAATAGCATTGTTAGCGCTATCGTATATGACGACGTTGCGATCTCTCTGGAGGAGGAGATAATAATTCCCAATTTGGCGATTGGTATTGCTCGCCCAAATCACTCTGCTGCCACTATATATTACGAGATTTCCATCGGTCTGCATCTTGAGAACACAGCTGAAGGCCCTTCCGTTGGTCCCCGTGGCCCAGACGGCTTTGATGTTATCGTAAAGAACAAGGTTACAGTCTGGCTGCATGATGAATAAGTAGGGGCCTTGTGTGAGTGATTGTCCGGGTCCAAGCGACTGGCCGGCGTTCAGGCGGTTGGTGGCGGAGGCGGGAGTGGTTAGGAGGCTAAACAAGGTGGCGGCGGAGAGGAGGAGGAAGAGGAGGATTGTTGGGGAGCTGGGGGAGGAGGCCATGGCTGTGTGGGTTGATTGGGAGGTTGGGAGTATAGGGTTATGCTTTGGTTGGGTGAGTGCATGCTGAAGGAAAGATGGGTTGCTATTTATAATAAATGTATGGGTACGAATCAAAATATAATAATAGAAAAAGTGGGAAACGCCGCATGGGATCGAGCTATGCGTGCATAACGCCGTGTAAAGTTTTATAATAATTCATAAGTCATTCGTTAAACTAATATAATATGAGGAAATTAAAAAAAAAAAAATATATCGTCAAATACTAATATAGAGAGAGAGAGAGAGAGAGAGAGAGAGAGAGAGAGAGAGAGAGAGAAATTTCTCAAAATATTTTTGTAAAGTTATGGTAAGATATACTTTTTTAACTAAAAGACACATTTTATCTCTTAGCATAGGAAAATTTGCCTTCCAAGTGGTTGATGACGCTTCATATCCTGCATGATATTTTAATAAATATTTTTCAACTTTGAAGTTATATGAGAACAGAACTTCTGAAACAATGGGCTTCCGTTAAAGCTAACAGCTTTTGTTTGGTTACCGTTTTATCTTGCTTTTCCACTCCGAGTTGCAGAATTAAGCGTTATAATGGCATTGGCCTAAGTTTTAAATTAAAAATAAAAATTTTATACGAATTGGATTAACAGTATTTAAATTTTGATGTGTTTTGGGTAATTTTTTATCAATAATTATGATTTACTTTCTGTAAAAAGCATATTTATAATTAAATTTTAAAAAGAACAGAAAAATTTAAATACATTTATCATTTCATGTGCTATATGATTGTGACAATATATATATAGCTAGTTGATCAGTCAATAAGATATTTGAAAAATACTGTCATCTTATTCAAATTCTTCTAAAAAAATATCGGAAATTCTTCTGAAAAATTAGACTGTCGGAAAGCCGCCGGAAAAATTATCGGAAATGAACGATTTTTCTATATTTAATAAATAAACAAAATTATGTATATGTATAGAGTAAATTGTGAATTAAAAAAAAAACTAAAATATTATTATAATTTTGAGCAAAATCAAACATTTTCTTATAACCGCTCATCTATAATCCATGATTATAAAGCACACTTGTAACATTTTTTTTCAGCGTAGTCGTAAATTCAATCTTTACTGATCCATACCAAAGGCAAGAGAGCTGAATGGATCAAAATGAGATTAAGGCTTCGTTTAGATCAGTTTTTTTACTGTTTCTTAAAATAATTTTTTTAGTACAATAGTTAAAATTTTTGTACTCGAAAACTGTTTTAAGAAGTAATAAAAAAATTATCCCAAACAAAATCTAAATAGATGTGAAGAAACACTGCACCCATAGCTGTCTTTGTCCTACACACCAAACAGTTATCTTCTATTGGATTTATGCAGACTTAAATTTGATTTTTTTCCCGTTAAGCTTCTCATTTAATTTTAAGGGTCATTGAAGAAGTTTCAAGAAATAAGAAGATAATAACAATGAAAGCTTGCGTGTGGGGAATGCAGCCAAATGGCTTTGGTTTATCTTCAAAAGTCCTAAAGTTAGATCTTTGCAATGTGCAAAGAGTATATATCCCTTCTTACAACACCCTTTTACTATAAAATTACAATCTCTTACTCTTACGAGAAGGGTGAGAGAAGTGGCAACCTCATGTTTTTTACTACGTAGTACATTATGGGAAGGTTGTATTCACATAGGTTCTTTTGCCACTTAAAAAATAGTAGAAATATAACCTCATAATGCATGTAATTGATCAAATAATCATGTTGCTTATTTTAACAAATATATGTATATATATGCTAGAAAGTTCTTTTCGATACAAATTGTCCACTTTTGTATTTATGTACTACTTTTCAATTCAAATTGTCTGCGTGCTAAGGGTGGTGACGACAGGATTGAGTGCATGCGAGAACAAGATCTCGTTGGAGAAGGCAATGAAAGGACCGATTGCATGTGAGGAAATCATGACCTTGCTTAGCAAGGCATCGTAGGACTAGTGCATGAGATAGAATTTGCCGAAAAAGACATTGTGGGACTAGTTGAAAGTGAGGAGAACAGACTGACTATGCTCAAGAATGACAAAAGACTCGAATATTGGTTCATATCATGCTTCAAGATTGAAATCAAAGAAGTATGAATTTAAATGAGTTCGATCGAGGCCATTTTGTTTGTGATGAATTTTCATAAGCAATAATATACAATTGATTAATTTTCTTCAAAATGATTTTTTTTAAAATATTTTCTTAAGAAAATAAATAGAAGATATATGCCATCAACTGAATGTATTATGATTGTTTTAAATTTAATTTAATTTTCTTTCCTTTAATGATACTCAGCTTGCCAGCTTATAGATATACCATATTGTTGAGTAGTACATAAATACAAAAGTAGACAATTTGTATCGAGGGGGAGCGGGCTTAATCCGCTCATAATAGGGACAATTTGTTATATGTTCAGCTAGGGCGAGGGGGAGCAGGCTTGGTTATTTTTTTCCTTTAATTTTCGGGTCGGGTTAAGGTCGACCCGTTTGAACCAGGTCAATTCCTGGTTCGATCCGAACCTGACCCGTGACCCGAAATTGACACCCCTACTCAACAATCAATTTAGAGTGAGATTCGGGTTTCGTTTGATATGACATTCTTATTGATTCTTAAATTAGATTTTTAATACAAAAATTTTAATTTTTATACTAAAAATTTACTTTAAGAAGCAATAAGAGAGCAGTCCTAAACGAAGCCTCAATATTTTTTAGCACTTCTTGAAAATTATAAAATTATCATTAAAGTAGTGGCAGCTTTGCAAAATAAATGATATGGATAAAGAAAAATTTCAACTTTTTTAAAGAAAATTTTCATCTTCGTAATTGGCATTTCATTTTCTAGCCTTTTAAGAAAATCTTGCATTTCAGGTCGTAGCCGTCACCTACATGGGCGGAACCAGTTATAATTTTCAGGAGAGGCAAATTTATAACTGCTCGCATATATGTCGGGGAGTCCGAGGGGGCAGCGCCCCTTGGCGGGATTCGACTTGCTGGATCAGGTCGCGGGGTCAAGGGGCACCGCCCTTGCGGGGGTTTCCGGGAGTAGCACCCCCAGAACAAATTTTGATTTACTACTTCTCTTTATATTTGGTTCATCATTCCCTAACAATAACATATCTACACAATGTATTTAATTATATTATGGGCAATTGCCTAAAGATCATATTATTTTAACATTTTTAGCTCAAAGAAGACAGCATAAACCATCATAAATTTATATGATTATTATTCATTAAGAATGTATTAGAAGCACCAACAATATCATTCCATTTTTATGGAAGTATGACAGATAGAATCACAGTTATGCCATAGAGGATAATAGCTATTCCTGTGAAATTCAGCACAAGAGTTTCGCTGCCTCGACGAAGCCCTATAAGCGAAAATCTTCTTACGATGCCTGTGGCCGAGCTGATTATTGCCAGGATGAATATTGTCAGACCGAAGAAGAAATGCCATGGCTTCATAATCGCTCTCATCGTCAGCGTCGCACCAGGAAAAAGGAAGAACGTGAAACCAAGCAGAAACTGTGAAGAAAAAACATTCATAGCTCAAAATAAATTACAGAGATATTATGGAATGAATAATAAGCGACATTCAATGAGGTTTGGGGGCTTCTGTTAGGCTTTGAACCGAGTTAATTACAAGGCATTTTGCTATGCAAGATAGTAATTTAATTAAGTATTTTTTTAAAAGTGATTAAACGTTGACATAAAAAATTTCACCCCTTTTTTTCATTGAGAGGAATTGAAAAAAAATAAAGGAAAAAAGTTATATTTTAGACTTCATTTCCTACAATTTTCCGAGTTAATTACAAGGCATTTTGCTATGCAAGATAGTAATTTAATTAAGTATTTTTTTAAAAGTGATTAAACGTTGACATAAAAAATTTCACCCCTTTTTTTCATTGAGAGGAATTGAAAAAAAATAAAGAAAAAAGTTATATTTTAGACTTCATTTCCTACAATTTTCTTTCACCGGTCGAACCGGATGATATAATAAATAATAATATTATTAAAAATTTAAAAATAAATGAGAAATTTTCTCCTAATACATTCACTCTAAACCTGACCTTGTTGCACCTAATCAAGATAAATATTCAGATTTAAGAGGAACTATGCACATATTGCTATCTGGTTCAGCTATAATTGAACTAAGATTGTAAAAAAGGCAAATTTTACCTTGTAATTGGATTCCTGGTATGATTCATAAACATATTAATATACAAATGCAAAAAGAATAAAGGAAACCAAACAGGAAACTGCAGCAATCTGCTTCAATTTTTGGAAAGCAAGCAGCAAATTGCAATATTCAGTAATAACAAAGGAAAGCAAACTGCAAACTGCAGCATATTGCATCAATAACATATTCTAACGCATCAATAACAAAGGAAAGCAAATTGTATTAAAAAGAAGAATCTCATTTGAATTTTTGAGAGTAAAAGAAGTTGCAGTAACATACTTCAAAATGCACAAATGGAAGTTGTAACCAGTGCAAAAAAATCTAACTAATCAACTTATGAGCAAAGCAAGTTGTAACCATTTAATTAGAGAAGGAAGAAAACCGGACCGAAGAACACCGTCTGAAGACTAATCAGAATGAGCAACGTTAGCTGTACCGAGCCGCGGTACCGAACAAGGGGTGACGTGGCACATTCTGGTTGGTCTCCAGATGATGTTCGACATACGCACAGAATAACTAGTCATATTTGAGACAACTTTCTAGCTATTTTTTAAAATATTTGTGATTGATAATTACTTTTTGCAACTAGTGTAGCTTAGGCTTCATTTAAGACAACGTTTTTTATGCTTTAAAAGAAAATTTTATACTAAAAAGCTGTTATAAAAAATAGTAAGAAAACTGTCCTAAAAGAGTGAATCATTAGTTTTTTTTCTCACAATAATTTCACAATCAGCTTTATAAAATTATGAAGCCATCTCAAATAGACCTAACTCAAATTTAGCTTCACAAGTAACAT